CAAATGAGAGGACGCACGAGTGTCGATCCTACCACTAACTCTGTGGGTCTGTTTCAGTCTTCGTATCGATGTTGTGCTTCTGACATTCAGGAGCAAAGCCAGACCCCGTGGACTTACTTTCCAACAATGGTGCCTTCCAGCCGAATCGCCAGATTCATTGCCTCAGAGATTTGTGTAGATAGTCTGTAACAAAACTTGTCAAAGCTTAGTATTGTCAGACATGGGAACAATTTTTGATGCTAATGTGAAACCACAGCTCAGAACGTTTGTTCTGAATTTATTTATTTATTAAATTGCTTCTGAACTTTAGGTTTGAGAGGAATATAGTGTTCTACTAAAGGTCTTTTCCTTTTCAGAAAAACAGACAACACAAATTTAGTTTTTTCGTTTGTTTGTTTACAGTTTTATTGTCCTGTTAACTAAAGACTTTTTATATCCTTTAAGTATTTTAAGAATTGTTGATTACTGATGTTTAATGGCATGGTTTTTGCACGCATTTGGTTTTAGTGTAGCCTGTGAAAAAAATGTTTCTCCACATTTAGTTTGAAATGTATTTATTGGTATACATAAGGCCAACTGTGTGCTCAGTGTTCACATTTTCACTTTTTGATGTTTCATTTTTAACTTTATCTGTTTACAACTGTCTGATTTTAAGGTCAATTAGGCTAAGGCCTACTGAATATGTAATGGGTGGAAATAAAGTTTCCCTTCCTTGATTTCTCACGAGTAAGTTCTTGCTTACTTTTACCTCACTCCAAAGACTTATTCCTTGTCTTGGCATTGTACCTATCAACCTGGATTATTATTATTATTATTATTATTATTATCATTATTATTAGAACAATGTAGTGTGTGTGTGTGAAAATAAATGTCAGTAAATGATCAGGATACTGTTGCTCAATCCCCCCACACACTCACTCTTACACACACCTTCAAAAAAAAAAAATCTTTAATGTTTTCCCTGTCTTGATATCCCAATCCCAAGTTGCATAATTTGCATACCACACAGGCACAAACCTGCATTAGAAACTGCACATGCTCACAAAATGTATCCAACTACAGAACGGTTCTCCTTCCCGTTCTTAGTTGTGACATCCAGTGTGGTCTGCTGCTGGTGTACCCCACCTGCCTGAAGGTTAGACTTTTCCAATTGGGTATGCTCTTTTGCATACCTTGGTAATAAGTGGTTATTCGGGTTACTGTTCATCAGCTCAAAGCAGTCTGGCCATTCTCCTCTGAATCAGATCAGAGGCTCTGATCTGTGGCATCAATAAGGCTTTTTTACTCAGGGCTTTGCCACAGACTGCATATTTGTAAGTGCCAAAATAGCGGCACCAATAACAATGCCACACTTAAAATCACTTAAATAACCACGTTTCCTCATTCTGATACACAGTTTGAACTTCATTTAAGGCAAACCGCAGTTTTAGGTTAACTATGTCTAAATGCAGCACTGTGACACGATGGAACTGACGCCTCACTAGAAGAAGGTCCTGAGTTCAATTCCACCACCTGGCTGGGGTTTTTTTCTGTGTGGAGTTATGTTTGTTCTCCCCGCGTTTGCATGGATTCCCTCCGGCTACTCCGGCTTCCTCCCACAATCCAAAGACATGCAGTTGGTGAATCTAAATTGCTCATAGATGTGAATGTGAATGCGAATCGTCTCCCTCTCTCTGTGTTAGCCCTGCGCCAGGCTAGTGACCTGTGGTAGCCTCGATAGGCTCCAGCCCCCCTACGACCCTGACAAGGATAGGCAGAAGAGGATGGGTAGAAGTCTAAATGGTTAAATGTATTGGGTTGGGAATTCATATAGCTAATACTACTAGCTAAATTAATAACCTCAAACATAATCCTGGGTTTCTGCAGTTTCTGAATCGTCAACATTTACATTTATTTACAGCATCATCGTCACAACTTAATAAAAATCATTCTGCATGTAGAAAAACAGTTAAAATGCAAATTTTCCACTGTCAGTGTGACATGGTGTCGTGCTCTCTCTGTGTCCTTGCTACAAATGGTAACAGGTACAGGTGAACACTGGTGTTCATCTCACTGACTGGACACCAGCCTACATACAACACGTAATACTTTTAAACACACCACTGAGTTTCTCAAAACTTCTTTCCTATTGTGCTGCAATATTTATTTATTTATTTATTTATTTTTTTGTCAGTCTTTTTTGGGGGCTTGCCTTCCTAACCTCTGTAAAACGTCCCTGTGTTTGAATGCTGCCTGTCTTTATAACTTCACCAATGAAGACAGCTAATCGTCCAGGCAACTCAACTTTTCAAGTCTGGATTCAACTTTTTTATTCGTTGAACATCAGGAACAAGCGCACTATTAACGCTATTAACACTATTAACACTTCTCAGGACTAATTACAGACTTCACACACACACGTGTGCGTGGAAAGCAGACATGGAGTTAAGCTGACTTGCTGTTGCTCCTGGCTGTTGCAGTAAAACTCTCAGATGTAACTGAGAAAGCAGTTCTGCCACCCAGCCTGTCCCCTCTGCTTGCTCATGTGGAACATATGGATATATGTGTGCCAGTTAGCAAGACAAGTCAAGCGGGACCAATGCGATAAAGCTCATTAGGAACAAGGGACAGAGCAATGTATGTGTGGGCTGTTTTATTCCGTTCTAATGAAAGACCTCCTTCTTCTTCACTCTCAAACTAGAAGCCAAAAATGGCTACAAAACTATCCTCCAAATATCCAAGTCATGTTTGATATTTTTACTCTGGTTTGAATTACTTGAGAGCTTTTTTTTCAAGTTTAAATAACTTAACAATAAGAATGTTTGGTTTTTGCTTTTTTCCATAAGAATTTGTTGAAATAGGCTAACAAACATGGGCATGGCTCCAGTTGTACAGTCATCCAAGAATACATGAATTTCTTTATCTGTCAAAAAGAAAAAAAAACAGGTCCAGCTCTGAGGAAGGTTCAGAGCGGAGGTGTCTGTATTATCTGCTTCTTCTTTTTTTCTCTGTTAGATAACATAATATTTTCTCTACTGCTTTGCTAAGGAGTGTGGAGTCAGTCTTGCTTCATACATTTGAATAATTGCACTAAGTTACTCAATGTACTTCCTCCAGATACCATATGAGGGTTGTCATGTGTCAGGGTGCATCTATGTCCTTGAGCCAATGTGTGAGTGAAGGTGGACAAGTATTAGTGGTGCACAGAGATGTAAAAGAACCAAATGTGTGTTTGCATGAACAAGATGGGGGACTGGGGGGGGCGTGGACTACCTGCCTAGCGGCCATGTTTAACGGTCTGCTCCTGCTGTTTATGATAGGTTCTAGTCATTCACACTGGGGGAGTGTGTGCACATTAATGCCTTCAGACGGCCCTCATATGAGTGTCTGCGTAGATCAGCTCCTCTCCTCTGACAATAATGAGCCCTCTGGGTGAAAACAGGGTGGAGACAGTGGGAGTGGAGGGTCATAAAGAGCAACATATTAATGTCTACAACCTCACCCCCACCCACCCTTCCGATCCAATACAATTTCCAAGTGTCCACCAACAATCTCCTCTTAAAGAGCTTTTTTTATAGCACACTTCTATTTCCATATCAGCAATTAACAGCTCCAAAGCCAAAATGACTGCTACAATTAAACAGCCACCATAACAAAGTACGCATAGCATCCAATTCCCCCTTAGCTCCCCTGCTCCTCTCTGACTCACATAATCACGATGCCCTATTTTTCATCCAAGTGTACGCTCCCTCATCTTTGTCTATTATTATGTCCTGTGTTTGTTCCTTCCACCCTGGGGATTTATAGCCCAGGGTGTTGTTTATAATGATCTTTGGGACATCTGACCCATCCCGTTCTGAAGCTTTCATAACAAGCTTTATGCCCATTATATAATAACAGGCATAAAGGCGAAAAAAGTCCAACTATTTTTTTTCATATAGATATGATACGTGGCTTAATGTGACAGCTCAAACAATATTATATATTAATTTCTGTACTTATTAGGCTAAACATTTGCTGTAAACATAGATGTTGTTAAAAAGATACATAACATTTAGAATAGTAACATTGTTCTTAAGATTATTTATTGTTTGATACAAGTATCGCACCTACTTCCTGGTTACACAAGCTGTGTAGTCGATAGATGTACTAATGGAAAAAAAATATACATATATAAAGTGTCCAGTCAACATGAACTTACCTTAGCTTACATTAACTACAGTGAAATGTACCAGGCATTACCACCTACTTGTGAACTTTAAACAAAATTTTTTTGTTCAGTTTCTTGTTCACCAGATGAAATTTCCCACAATCACTGTTCTAGAAGAACTCATCAGAAATGGACATTTCACTGAAAGAGCGGATCCCTCCATTTGTCATAATGAACATTAAAACATCCAATCATCCTCAGTCTCACTTAAATCACACAATTAAGTCTTTCCACTATGTAAAACATTCAGCATGTCTTTATTTGATGGGTTTTTTTGGCCAAAAATAAATAAATAAATAAAGGTATTCAGGATTTTTCCACCAGACTTATTCAGGCTAATATGTACAAACAGCCTTTATGTGAGGAATTGTTTGTGTGTGAAAACATTTCAAACATCCAGATGACTACAGAAATATTTTTTTCCTTCCTGTCTAGGCTGATTTGAGGGAACTGCCCTCATGCAAAGGCCATTATGTCTGTCATCCAATTCATGTGATTGTATTTAATTGTAAATGTGGGCTAATAAATGTGTTTCTACTTATGGACAATGACTTTTGTATCTTTTCTTTTACCAAAGAGAATTATCCGAGGACTTTACTCCTCCTAGTGGTGGTGAGGATGAATAAGACGTACACCCTGACTTCTTTTTTTTTTGTGAACTGCACTTGCGCTCATCTATCACCATGAGTTTTTATGTGCCCATCAACACAGTGTAGATAGGGAATCAGCAATTAATGACTACACAATTAGAGAGAAGGCTTTAAAGAGCAATATATTTCAATTTAGGAACCATAAACTTAGTGAGTTGGTAACTAATTGTAACTGCCTCAGGAGAAATGGGAGCCCTTTGGACTGAGGTCAGGAAGACTCAAAATCAGTTTCAAACAGATTTCAAATGGCTTCTTCAGTCACTCACACATTCTGGCAAGCTGCAGCATATCTCACATGATATACGCTGAGAGGAACTTCTCAAGTTTTAATTAAAAGGCGGGCAAAGTGGCCCGCAGTTGAGTTGTTTTGAAATTCATCACAGTGAGGGTGTAGACAATGCTGTCCCCGTGAGACTTGATATCTTTGGACAAAATGACTCTCTCGCTCCATTTGTCGACATTTTCATCTCTCTTTCTGTGGATTTCTCTCCCCATGTCCCAGCATCTGGATACCTTTGGGATGGAGAGGGGAGACAAGGTCTTTCCCATCCCACTGTTCCCCCAGGGGGCACGAGTTGGTTTGTGAGCTTCTAGATCACATGATAGAGACACATCTAATCCTGTTAGAGGTTAATATCTTCCCGTGGCACAGAAGAGACAGCAGGAGGGAGAAATGATGGGAAGATAAAAGATGAAATTTCTGATGAGAACGTGAATACATAAAACGTGCTATCTGCTTCTCCTTGCTGTCCCACATATTGGTTTGTGGTTAGGGTATACGTAAGTGTGTGTTTGTTCCCGTGTCTGTGTACCCTCATGGGATCTTTCCGGCTGCTGCCTGCATGTCTAACAGACTTCTCTCAAGGTGTTTTCCCCTCGCTGTCTTTCTGTATCTGCTCCATCTCTGCTCCCTGAGTGAGAAAGTTTACCCTGTAGGCCCCATCTGAGCTCCAGGCCCCCCAAGGCCTCTGCATTCCCAAAGCTCCTACATACCAGAGCCCCTCAGGCTCCCTGCTTTACTACAGGGAATACCCCCAAGAACCCCTAGACCCCCTCAGACTGTGAAGCAGCAGCTCTGCACCAGAGAGCTAGCCTGAAGGGAGGGGGAGAAAGCTGTCTGGGAATAAAACTAACAGCATGCTTCACTTAACATGTGAACATTACCTGACAGCGCCTCCTGTTGGCACAGCATTGTTTTTGCATGCGGGCCTCCTTGTAACCCTTCTGAGTTGTCTCTCTGGAGGGTTGACCTTGTTAACAATCCCTTGGGGCTCCTAAGAGCCTGTGTGTGCTACATGTGCACTGACCTTTCCAGTTCCTGGAGGTTAAATAACGTCTTTTGGCCCAAAGAAACACAGCGGGAAATGTATGCTGATGTTGGAAGCACCTGGGACTTCACCGAATGACATAGTGAAAAATAAGACCACTCCTTTTTAAAGCAACTACAAAAAACAGCTTGTTGTTCCATACAACTAAATCATGAAAAAGATGCACCTTTTCCTTTGCTTTCCTTGTGACAGTGAATTTAAATAACTTTTACTTTTGATAGAAACCTTTTCGGGACATTGCATGTGGTTGTGGAGGCTGTGAAGCTAGCAGGCCTGCTGTCCTACAGATGTCTTGGGCTGTGCCTTACCAGGTGTACGTCACCTGAGATTACCCATGCCGACACCCCTTAAAGGCAAACTGCCAGCAGTACAGCTGAGGGGGCATCTGGTGGCGTGTGCGCGAGCGAGTGTGTGTACGCCTATGTGTGTGTTCATGCATTCAGACTGGGGGTAACATTTGGCAGGATGGGACTGAGTGCATACATTTATTGTGTTGTTTGGGTAATACACATGCCCGCAAAGAAATGCAGAAGATCAGTGTATAGGGCACAGATCTGAGTGAGTGTGATAGTCGTTGGTAGTAAAGACTGAGGACATTTAAAGCATCAGAACCTCTTGCTCCGGAAAGCCTTGCCAATATCCAGTAAAGAGTGAACTGAAGTGAGTAAAATGTTCAGCTCTGTCTTTCACTCTGTCCGTCTGATCTTCCAGCAATTCACAACACCCCCGCTGAGTAAGAACAAAGACGAGCCCTTCTTAATCAAAGTGCACTGGATTAAGAAGCAGAAAAAAACATCACAGAGATACTACCTCCCTGCCATTATGGGAATTGGAAAACAACCTGAATCTGCACTTCAAATGAGCCGTCCGTGACCCTGAAGTAGGAGAAAGGCATTTTAATCTTTGTTAATTTGTCAAGTGTAAAAGGGCTGCCGTGAAAAGAGCAGGTACACACTGTACCCTGTTTGGGCTTCTGTTGGATAAATGTCTTCTTTAAACGTACACTGTGCTTTCCATATGCGAGCACACTGATAACAGTTAAAACATACTATGAGCCATGCAACAACACTTTCTGCCCACACTGAGTCATATTTTATTAACACACCCTCTGAAGCTGAATCATCCCATCGCCTTTCCTCTAGATTTGCAGATAAGCTGAAAAACACACATTCTATTGAAACCATGTATATTTCACGGACCGAAATATAGTCTGTACTGATACTCAACATGCAAGAATAAATTGGACATCTTCAGGCTGAGGTGGTAAAATATAAACAGTATATGAATTCAGTCACAGTCGAGAACTCTGAGTACAAGTTCCATTTGCAAGACGAGAAAGGATGACACTGCCATCATGTGGATAAAAGGTGTAAAGTGTTGTTCTAAACTGCAGGCTATTATGTACAGCAAGAACTCAAGCATGTGCATGTGTGCATTTTGGGGCCCAGCCTGCGTAGAAGGGGGCAGTCAGTGGAGAGCAGCCTGCTGACACTGAGGTATGTGTCTTTTCTAATGAGATTTATTGGGCTCCAGATGTTCCTATTTATGAAGATGTGTGCTTGAGATTTAGGAGGGTGAGATCTGCACCCTGTCAGAGTCACAGAGGGGTGCTGTTTTACTGTCTGTCACCCACCTCACACCCCCACCTCGTCTCATAGGTGGCCTCTTAACCTGACAACACCCACACCTCCTTTGTCTCTCGCCAACACAAGTGTGCACTGATGTGACTCAAGATTTTATAAATGCACAAGAATATAAAAGGCACCATATATTGTGAGCAAATGCACCACATGAAGTATATACAAAGCAATCTGGGCAGTCTAATGTACACTTTAGGAAGATAAAGATGTCGACATTCCCACAACCGAAGATTCTCTGTGTTCAACTTAACAGACAAACACTGAGGAGTTGTTCTTATTGCTCTAAATCCAGTTTACAATGTCCAACATATTGAAGAGGTGAGACCATTTTAAAAACAAAAGAATAAGCCAGTGCATGTGTTGTAAAATATTCAAAATAGTATGTCAACATTTTCCTCATCTCATGAAGTTAAAAACAAAAATCTTGGCTCAGCATTACTGTGGCATTATACCCTCTCAAAATGGCACTTTTATTGCTAGTAGTGGTTGAAGTGCATCTTGACGACCTTGGGGATCATCTGTGAGTCTTGACGTTGACGCAGGCATCAGCTGCGCTCGCCACTTCGGTAAGTCTGGCAAAGCACCATAACCGCTGACCAGGATCCAGGCATCTTTTTCTACTAGCTGGCACAACATACTGTCACATTCCTCTTTGTCCTCCTCCTCCTCCTCTTGCTGCTCAGATGGCAGGCTGCAGCTTGGTCAGGTTCCTCTGGTGCATGCTGTGGTGGCGCACCAGCTCGTCAGAGCGGGCAAACTTCTTCTGACAGTTGGACCAGCGGCATGTAAAGGGCTTCTCACCTGACAAGGAGGGGACACGCAAAAAAAAGGGGGGGGAAACAGGAGAAAGCATTGCTTTAGAGTGAATTCAGTGAAGGCACTTATTGTGTGTAAATCAATTCGAATGGAGAAGTAGAAAATAAAGGTATACGCACTTGTTTTACCTGTATGAGTCCGAGTGTGTGTCTTAAGATGATCTGACCGTGAAAACTTTCTCTGACACGTCTCACACTGAAAGGGCTTCACTCCTACGCAGAGATGACGGTTGTTGTTGCACCGTCAGAAACATGAATGAGTGTGGAAACGGTAAGAAGAGGGTCAGAAGTTAAGTGTAAGATTAAGTGGTTAAAAATTGCTATTAAGAAAATGTGATCAAATTTACTCTAGATTCATTCTAGATATGGGAATTCTAGCATTCATGGATTATAATTGATCACTCTGGTTATGCAGCATTCAGTATTATCAATTAAATAAATACAAAATCACAATACATAGAAAAATTATTTGTTTCTCGTAGTGAATTAATTTCTAAATATTTATTTTGTTGTGTTCCTGGATTGAATGATATAGTTTTATGCATTACGGGGTCTTGAAGCAATAATGATGGCCGCTATATTTTTAGAAAGCAGTAAGAAGGTTTAAGAAAAAAGAGTTAAAAGGCGAATTAAGGCAGCAGCCAGGATTTTATAAATAATGAAACACTAATTACAATGACTCATTTCTCGCTTCAAAAAATATTCATTATTCATTTAAAACTGCCTCCTCCACACTACCAGGAAATTCAAAATCCTTTAAGTAATTACTTTTTAAATGTATTGTCCAAAAAGGAAACCTGATGTACCTATCTATAGTGGAATGAGGGATTAGATATACTAGCTTAACACCACTCTACCTGTGTGTCTGCGCTGGTGTCTCTTTAACTGGTCCGAGCGAGAGAATCTGCGTCCACAGTCTGTGAAATCACACTGGTATGGTTTCTCTCCTGCAATACAAACCAGCCGTCATCATCGAAGCCTAAAGTCGTCACATTTCAAAGTGGGCAGGACAAATGAGTACAAATGTTCTAAACAGCCTCCACCTGTGTGTTTGCGGCCATGCATCTGCAGATGGGACAGTTTGAAGTATCTCTTGCTGCAGCCGGGATAAGCGCACACAAACGGTCTCTTCTCACTGGCCTCTGAAGTCTTCGCAGCAGGGGAAGTGATACCAGATACCCGTCTGACATCCTTTAAGAAGAAAGGAGAAGGATTTACACTGAGGAAGTTCACTTTCTGTCTTTGTTCATATGTGTGACCAAACCTGACTAACCTGAAGTCCTCTGAAGACACCGTGGGTGTGTATGTGGTACTGGGTGCTGACAAGCATGGGTGGAGGTGGGGCTATGGGGTCACTGTCATAGCTGGTTGGATGGCCGCTGGTAGGCAGGAACAAAGTTACAAGTTAATTATAACAGTGGAGTATTTAGGACATAAATGCCATGTTTCCTGACGGATTTCCAACTTGAACAAAAGCCTTTCTCCTCTTCTCTTCCAAACAATCCCTAAACATGCCTGCCTCTAACAATATATCCAGGGCCCTGAAGATATATTTTCTCACTCAGCTTGTAAATTTAGGTGACGGGATCCTACATAAACTTCATCTGAGACTTTTTTTTATTTTTTGAGCAAGGAAAGCTTCGTCTCACATTCTTTAGCACAAATGGCCCCTTCTTTCTGTTTCCTTCTTTTTTCTTCCTTTTTAAAAGTTTGAATGACTTTATAGTAGCCTAAACCAGAAAACCTTCAAATACTCAACTCAGCATTTAGAACATGCATTAGAAGTGAAAGACTGCACATAAACAAAGCACCAGTGAAGACTAAAAACTGCACCATATGGTGTTGAAAATAAAAAGCGACAAAGTCTCACCTCTTCATAGATGATGCCAAGGAGTTCATTTGGTTCCATGTTACACACTCCAGCTGAGATGCCATTTGGTACAGGTTATCACTGAGTAAAACATACAGCATACGGCATTAACAGGGTTAACACTGCACTTACAGCAGAGTTAGGAAAGCGGGGAAAGTAATTTATAGGCTATGTTCAGGTTTTTTTTAAATTTATTATTTGGTTACTTTTTGGAAATAACCTTGAAATTAATAATCACAGACAAGATTTACTCTGAATTCCTCCTGACAGTTTTCTTCCCTTGTACATAAAATGAAGATGTTTCATTCAGGGGAAGTCCAAATGGTTCACTTATTAACACATGCTGTCCACCCACCACACTCCTCACTGGCCTCATTAAAAGACACAGGCACTGAGCCATTCTTTACCTTGGCAGATCACACTACTTCACACAGACACACACAAACACAGCACACAAACTCGCACACTTGAAGATGGGATTGTGCACTCCTTGTGGGGGTGAGAGCCTCTGTGCCTAGTACACCCTGGACCCGTGGATGACATCACTCTGTCCTCGGTATCATTAATGGCGGGAAAGACTTTCAGGGGAATTCTGGACCACATTCCTTCAGAAGTCCTTGAGGGAAGGATTGCGATGGCTCACTAATCAGTTCTGAACTAAGTAAAACTGTGCAAAGACTCACTGATATCTGACATATGTACACCATGTGTATGAGCGCGTGCACTCGTGTGCGTGTTTGTTTGAGGGTTTCCAGTTCATGCAATAGCTCTAACAACAGTGCAGTCTTCCCCGTTCTTATCAGCTGCCGTCCCAGTATTTGAGTTGTACATGTTCCTTTTCTTCAACAACATCGCGGGCCGGCATTTGAAGAATTTCATCCTAATTTACCCTTTGAGATGTTTTCCATCCAAACGAAAACAAGTGAGAAACACATCTACAGATTCAAATAAGCAGATTTTCAGTGGCAGCTTCTCCGCAACTCTCACTTTCACTTAACATTTCTCCTTTTTACTTTTCTCCTCATTTTTCCTGAGGGTGGACTGCGACACATCAGCAGTAGATCACTTAAGTGTTTGTTTTGGCCTGCTGAGCACCAGTGGGCAGCACTTAACCTCAGAACAAATTAGGATTCACAACCCAGACGCTGTAGAGGCAAACACGGGCTTAATGTGGGATCAGGGAGAGTTCACACTTCTAAAAATTACCAGCAAGTGAGCAAGCTGCATATGGTGTCAGTGGAAAGAATCTGACATGAACTGATGACTGAGGACCAGAAAAAAGGGGAAATAAAGCAAAAACAAACTCATACAGGGATAAATTATTGTACCTGTTGTAATTTCGCAGCAGCAGCGCTTGGCTGCTCGGACAAGAGTCTGAAGGATTATGGCAGCTGAACATAGGATTAGGCGCTGGAAATTGCTGGTCAACTAAATCAAATGAAAAAAATACAAAGGCTGGTTTAAAATATGGATGCAGTGTTTACAACAATTTCATTTTCAGATTTTAAAATAATATGCTTTTTTTAAATGAAAAGCTGGGAGTCTAGAAAAGATCATGAAACTGTGAAATACATAGAAAAAAACAGAAAACACTGAACACATTGTTAATTTTAGTGGTTTTTGGTTAAAACTATATATTACATACAATACATCACTGTTCCACTTGCGATATAAATGCTTCTAAACCATTGATATTATATTGAATCATTTTTCCAGACACACTAAATTTATTTGTAAGACAAATATGAGTTCATTTCAAAGACACATGAACGGCAAGAGAGAAAAAATAACAGAATGGAGAACAGGTCGTTGAGAACCACTGGTCCTTTTCAGGTTCAGATAGTATATTGGTCCCTAGACAGTTTTTGACATTCCAACAGAGTCGCATAAAGCCATTTCCTCAAGTTATAATTTCCAGAATCATTAACCTTTTGTATGCTTGAAGAGCAAGAGGGAGAGTGTGTTTATGTATGTCTGCGTATATGAATATGTGTGCAGACAGAGATGGGGAGAGATGAAGGGAAATGGATAATAGCGGTTCTGTTGTGATATGAAAAATGATGGGTTACTTATATAACCTTGCTGTGACACGACAGCCTTCCAGTCTGCAGATCAAATGAAAAGGCGCCGGGGCGTAAAGAGTTACCTATGCTGTTTGGCGGTGACAGTGTCTCCTCGTGTTTGAATGACAGGCTGGAGAGCTGAGGAGTGTGGTGAGACGGCGTGTGACCGTAACTGGGATTGCTGTCTAAACCGACTGCTCCGTAACCTGAGAGAAAAAACAAAAACAACAAAAAAGAGAGGTGATGGAAATAAAATGAGCCTATTTGCCTGCTCGAGTCATTAGATCATCATCTCAAACATCACTGCAACATTCTGAAGCTTGCAAAGTCTTCAGTATCTGGTCAGTTATCTATATCCCCTTGATAGTAGCTCTTAGTCCCTGGCAGGCTTACCGCAGGGAGACATTCATCGCACTACTAAATCCTCTTTCCTTGTAACATATTCTTTTTCCCCCCATCTATCTTTGGCTTTGTGGTTGCATTATTTATGGCAGGTGGAAAAAGAAATTTGGCAGACACACCACAGATGGACTGATGTGAGCTACTGTAGCATATGCTTTGTAAAAAAAAAATAGAATGGGAGAGAAAATTTTAAAGAGTATCATTTTAGTTATTTGACGGGGAAAGAAACATGTAACGAAAACTATTTTGATGTATTCTGCTGTAGCACACAAGTATCGTACAATCACAAGGAAAGTGAATGTGATGTTTATTTTACAAACGCAGTATGGACAGTTTGTGATACCCAGCGTCAGGCCCAAAAGGGATGTCAGTAAATTTCTAAGAAAAATGACTCACAAACTCCCTAATTCATGCCACTTGCAGAAAACCACTCTGTTTTATCACTTCATCAAAAACTACTTTGCGCTGGGCAAAGAAGTCTCACATGCACACTTCCTCTGAAAGCAGCAGGCAAACATGTAGGTTAAATGTACCCCAGCAGATAGCAAATGCAAGAATTGTTTATGACAGTGGCAGATGTGTCTTATCTCCTGTACAGAAACATTGAAACAAAATTTATGTAGTTTCATTTTTAATTATGATTCCAGATAAGAACCAAACTAATCTTCTGTTTTGTATAAAAAGTTGCTCAAACAGCAGCTGAAGTCAAAGGACTCAATTTTTATTTTTTATACTTACATTTTTTATGTATACATGCAATACTGTGTTAATTAAACCCAAAACTGAGGGGTAATAATAATGATGATGCCAAAGGATTTGTTGTGATTTGAAATGACCTAGTAAAGAACATGACATGCTGCTCAGACACAACATTACTGACAACACTTAAACATCAAGAGCACATTTAATGGCAGTATAGAATGATGCTGTCTCTAAAAAAACATTTTATTGACTGATGGTATCACAGAAGGGATTAGCAGTAAGAATGCTTACCCTGATTCCGAGGTGTAGGAGGGCTGTCCACACAGCTGGGCAGGTAGGTTCCATTGGGAAACATTCTTGGCTGGTTTGAAGGTGGTTCTCCAAAGGCCCCGGTCCGACAGGGGCCCGAGCCTGTAAATTGGCCAGTGAAATGCACTGTGAAGGCCCCAAGTCCACAGTGAGGGTCCTCTATCGGATCAGCGGTGCCCCAGCCAGGCTCCTGCTTGATGAGGGAATGGTGGGAGGGCAGGGAGCTGTATGGAGAGCCAGGGTGGAGGTCCAGCATCTGGGTCCACGGGCCCCCACCAACAGACATCCCACAGCCGCCACCAGCTCCTGGTAAGGATGGCACAGGAGGTGCAGGTTGTAAAAGGGTCAGATCGCGAACATCTGAGCCCAGTGACATGGTTCCACACGGTTCGGTCAACATTAGCGAAGGAGATTCAAGAAAATCCAGTCCAAAAAAGTAGTGATCGTATTCCAAAAGAAGGTACAACTAAGAAATCACAGTAACATTAATGAACTCTTAAGCGCATAACAAAAACAATATCTGAAGAAACAAGAAGCATGGAGGAAATACTTCTGCAGAAACAGACATCAGTGGTCACAATGCGCTAGAGGAGCCATGTTTCCAATCTTTTGTGAGAAATTGAATAATGAAAATAACTGACTGTTGAACAAAATCTGGATGCCAAATTTCAGGCTCCCTGGGTACCTGCTGTGGATTTGAAGTGGGAGCCTGTGAGATAAACAGTTCCTTGTCCCTCTGTCTCTATAATGTCTGGCTTTCCTTATTCTCTTGAAGGCTCAAATACTGAATAACTCAGTGAAGAAGGGGAGGAGCAAGAGAGGATGAGAAGAGGATGACTCCCTTGCTTTTCCCCAGCCAGCTGAGACTGCAAATCTTTTTATTGTTTTTACAGACTACACTTCTGAGTAGATTCTAACTAATGTCACATTTAGATTAGAGGGTGTTGTTCTTCCTTCTTTGTTCAAGTTTAAGCGTTTCTCATCAATTGCACGTACATGTGCATGAAAGAGGGAGTCAGTGTTACATGTCCAGTGTTCAGGATGCAGAACAAACTAGAAACCTGAGCAACTAAAAATACAATTTGAAAATAAAAAATGTTTTCAAACATGTGTTCAAAAACAGCAAAATGAAAATGTTAGTCAGTGCACTAGTGACCTGAGCCGTTCTTACAAATGCTTATCGTTCTGGACTCCTATGACTCTGACTCATTTGTTTTCAGAAATATACACTTTCAAAATTTATACTTACTGGATGAAGCAACAGTTTAGCGAGCAGCAAGACAGCTGCTTGCAAAAACACTGCACTAGACTGAATAAAAATTACAGGTGAAACAGTAATTGCTCAAAATGTAAAAATGGTAAAAACAAAAATGCATAAAATGTGGCCGGAATGTTTCCATTTTGGATACGGTACTGTTTTTTACTAAAAGCAGCTCACATAAACTCCAGGGCCTTGGACCAAAGCCACATCACACTGAGGGATAATTATTTATTAGAAGAGAGGGTGTGTGTGTGTGTGTGTGTGTGTGTGTGTGTGTGTGTGTGTGTGTGTGTGTGTGTGTGTGTGTGTGTGTGAGCATGTTAAAGATTGGGTTTTGACCTTAACTCTAGCTTAACTCAGAGGAACTGCACATGCACAGGAATGCAGTAACTTCAATATCCCTATAAAAACCAAGACAGCTGCTTTGGATCTTTTAACATTACAGTATTTGTGCGATCAGCACTCGGGTTCCTCCTTCTTTTCTTTAAAAGCTTAAAAGAATCACAATATGTGCTATAAGCAGTGCAGTGAAACAATCAATCATAGCTGGCCTGAGATAAGACCATGGTAATCATCAAGCTAAAAAAAGTGCTTGTATCGTTTTTAGCATTTGTTTAAAATGTATAAAAAATGTGATTTGGTATTGGATTAATGAGGTTCATGTTAGAAATCTTGAAACATGGATTATGTGCAAAAACTGTCTGTCCTCACCATGCCTATCGACTGAGAAAACTGGGATCTAAAACACAAAATGTACTATTTCTCTTGTAGCCCAGAGTGTGTCGGTAATATGCTCATACTCTGTGTATAATGTTTGTTCTTTTCCTCCTGGGGACATGAATGAGAGCAAAAAGTCTTAAGTAGTCTGTCACTTCCAATTACTTTAACTCTGAACCGATGCCAAATTGGATAACTTTACGATTCAGACCACAATACTGTGGATAAATTGTCCATCGGTGAATTAGTGTGAGACATGGTAAGAGTGTTAACCAGTTTCTTTCATCACTTTCTCCAATGTAATTCAAGAAATGTTATTGACCCCAGAATCAACTTAAAAAGAAGTGGTGGGTTAGTTACTTTTGAAATGGGAAACAGAAAGAGAAGGAAACAGTGAAGGAAAGAGGTGACAAGCTGCTTTGAGTGATGAAATAACCCGACAAACTGCTGAAGTAGCGTTACAGAGACAATTGTCAGTCATTGTTGCAAAATTACAGTGATGCGTCTTTCAGTACTCATGGTAAGTACTTTGAATTGCTGCTTTCTGAAATATTCCAGGAATTTATTGACCGTATCTGATGAAATCCATTACAGTGGTCATAACCTTACAATGCCCTTAAAATTTAAAGCACAGATTCATCTGGGTGGTTTGCGGACATGGACAAGATTAAGAGTTTTCCTACTTGCTCTATTCTTGGAAATAAACAAGTGCAAAGGCAGCCCCACATCCCTGAGGAACACGCTGACATTTAGAGGATGTCCACATCGCAGATTTGAAAATAGAAGCGAAGAAAATTAATTTCTCCCAATGCAGTTTTTAAAAACCTTGTGTGGTCCGCCCATCACAAACAAACAGAAACTAAAATGATGTCCTTTATGGACAAAAGGTTGTGGAACAATTAAAAGTATCTTGTCAAACTTAGAAAGAGAAAGAGGAGGAAATGCAGTGTGTCTGAGCCAAGGCAAATGCTGGCTGTGCCTTCCAGAGTGGAGCCTTTAATGGGAATTCATCAAAGGTGACAGGGTCGGGAGAAAACAACCCTTTCAAGCCTTATGACGAATGGCAGTCCCCAAATACACCCATTCTTCAGATCGATCTATGGTTAACTCAGGGTTTAAAACAACATTACTGTGCAGTAGAAAGGAAATGGTCAATACTGCCTCTGACCCCTAACAAGAAATACACAAGACTGGAACTTTCTACAGCACGATGACTAAGGGGGAATTTGAGAAGCCAGAGAGATGCATGATAAACTACAGAGATATTTGACCTGGCAGGACAGATGCAAAATAAATTACTTTTTCCATTTAAATAAACATCTGCGTTCAAGCTATTGGATCTGAACATAGGTTACAAGGCAGTTTCTGTTTTTTCAAAACAAGAGCACTGCTGATTTAAAATGATTTATTAACATTTTTGAAATATTAGTAATCAGCAGTGCAGTAGCTTTGTTATAGCATTTAACAGCAGCAGAGAAATGCCAAAGAGCAGCAGGTGTTAGTTTGATGTGCTGAGAGTGGCACAGAAAAACCCAAATCCCTGCTTATTTCTAAATATGCTGGTTTCTGTTAAACAGGAAGGGTACACATGGAACTGTTTGTTCCTTACCTCAAATTACTTTTTTCTTCTTAAAGAGAACACCAAGCTATGTTTTATAAAGCTTGTACACTTGTTTTAATTAGCCCATATCAACTCCAAGCACTCTTCAAAGCGTGGTATATCAGACTGGAGATAAGAAACAGAGAAGAAAGGTCTGTGGGAGAATGTGCAGTTCTACAGGTCACGTGTCAGCCTCAACACTTGTCCAGTGATATTTTAAACACCCACTGGTTTCTTCTTATTGGCCATTTTTATTCATTTGAAAAGCTTCAGTAGGTGAGCCTCTGTGAAATGCAAAAAGGAAATCCACTCACTTCCCACTTTTTTAGGTACACCTTGATAGTTACAATAGGGGCTCAGCCCCCCTTTTTCCACCAGAACTGCCCAAATTCTTCGTGGCATGGATTCAACAAAGTGTTGGAAACATTCTTCAGCAATCTTGGTCCATATTCACATGACAGTTGCTGCAGATTTGTCAGCTGCACATCCACGATGCAAATCTCCCATTCCACCACATCCCAAAGGTGCTTTATTAGACTCAGATCTGGTGACTGTGGAAGTCATTTGAGTACAGTGAACTCACTTTCAAACTCAAGAAACCAGTTTCAGATGATCTGAGCTTTATGAGAGCATTGTATGATTCACTGTACACTGTCAGGGATAAAGGGATAGGCATGGGCAGCAACAATACTCAGATGTTTAAATGATGCTAGGTTGGTACTAAGTGGCCTGAAATGTCTCCAGAAAACACCACCTACAATAGCCTTAATTGCAGATACAAAACAGGATGCAGCCATACTTTCATGTTGCCCACGCCAAATTCTGACTCTACCATCAGAATGTAAGAGCACAAATTTTGTAGACAAGGCAACGTTTTTACAAACCTCTGTTGTCCAGTTTTGGTGAATCTGCTTGAAATGCAACCTCAGTTTAGTGTGAGTTTAGCGTTCTTAGCTAACAGGAGTAGCAGCCAATGTTGTTTTCTGCTGCTGTAGCCCGTCTTTTCTTCCTATCTTGGTTGTAACAAGTGGTTATTTGAGTCACTGTTGCTTATCTATCAGCTCGAAGCAGTCTGGCCATACTTCTCTGACCTCTCGCTCATCAGCATGGTATGTTTGCCGGAGAAGTATTGCTAAATGGATATTTTCTCTTTTTTGGAACATTCTCTTTAAACCCTGGACATTGGTGTGCAGAAAATTCCAGTAGATCAGCAGTTTCTCAAGTACTCAGACCAGCACATCTGTCAGCAACAACAGCACCACACTTAAATGACTTTTTTCCTCATTCTGATGCCCAGTTTGAACTTTAGCAGGTCATCTTGACCACGGCACATGCTTAAATGATTGAGTTGCTGCCATGTGGTTGGCTCATTAGATATTTGCATTAATAAGCAGCTTAACAAGTATATCTAACAAAACTCAACCAAGATAAATGCTTTCAAAAAAAGAATGTCTTTAAAATGCATTTCTGAAAGCTTTGTTAATCTCAATAAAGTCAATAAATTACACAGATCATTACACTAGTTTTTTTCTCATTACACGACTCCACTAGTAAAGACACAAATACATGAATTAATTGTAAAAGGAAATGAAACAATAAGCAAATTGAGCACTGCAGTTTTTAGCTTGTAGCTATTTTCAGCAGCATAATAACACGTCATCCACCAACAAGAAACAGGGTGGTATGCGTGTGATTAATGAACAGCAACAAATGTCAGCACTCTTGTTCACTACAACATGTTAGTCTGCATTTTCTTTACGAGTTGTGGGACAATGAAGCATTAAGGCACAGAAAGAAAAAAAAACATTTTTAATGATATCCAACGACAAGAAAAGTTTGAATTGTTTTGTTGCTACTCTTGGTGATCTGTTAAAGAACAACTATAAATAAAGGCACTTTATTCACATGTTTGTATTTGTAATCTCTACTTTCAAAAAGGTAAATGAGCCTTGTGCAAGCCACCAAAGATAATGATACTGACCTTGCATAAAGCATTGATTAAAACGTCTGGCCATAAGATGACTACATGACCTACATCTCACTCTGGGACATATCTGTGACTCAGAAGGTTAAAATTCTGTTAAGAGTGGTTTGTGTCACTTTATGGGAATGTATAAGTACAAGCATAAGCATATGACGCATCATCATCATCTTCATTAACCCGCAATCTGAAATGAGAATAATAATAATAATAATTATTATTATTATTATTTATAGAAGTTAAGAA